TCTTCCGATCTCCCCAAAACCCCAAAACCCCAAAACCCCTTGAGAGAAATAGAGGATAAATTTAAGGATTTATAAAATCAAATTATTTAAAATAAAAGGAGAGATTGATTCTAAGTTGTGATAAATTGGCTCTCCCTAAAATTATCTATTTGCATGAAATCTACTTCAGAAGTTGTAGAGTTACTTAACTAATTTGAACATCTGAATTTTACAATCAAGGTAGTCAAAATTAAAGCATTTATCACTTCCTTCGTTTTCATCCTTCAGGATCTTAAGCGACCAAACTGCCCACATATAATTTGCTATCAGCATTAAATGTCTAGTCTCTTATAGCAGCTTTGGCACCTCCTCTCTTAGGTAATCTTCAAGGCTGACTTAAGTTTTGTCTCCTTAAAAGTACTTTTCATAGTGCCTCTCAAGATATTTCGTTATAAGATACTTTTATTCTTGATCATTCATAAAATTTTTAAGGTAGCATTTTATACCATTTTTTAAAGGGTAGGCATTCTCCAACATTGTCTCGGCTATGTAGTTTGCTAAATCGTATGCTCTAGGAGCCCAACCAATATACTCGAAATCTATCAGTAGAATCTATGTGCTATCTTCCAATGAGGACAAAATATTATTCTCCTATGTATCATTATGGGCTAAGACAATTTCTGAATCGCTGCACAGGTGACTTTCAAAGTAATCAATATGACCCTCGAAAAAGAATTGCTCCTCAAATTCCTAAAGAATCCTTAGTATGTCAGGGTTATTTGCTTATTTTTCCCTAAGTACAATGAGTCTTTTTTTGACGTCATCAACCCATTAGCTCATCCAAATTCTGAATTAGATCTAGTCCATTGAAATAAATTTATTAACACTCTCCTGAGCCTCTTTGTTATAGTTGAAATCACAGATTTTCTCAGCAAAAGCATCTAAAAATAATGTGTTTCGCATTTCAAAAATGGTAATGGGCCTTGACAGGAAAAATCCCTCTATTCTGTATTCTGCACATTGGTAGTACAGCTTAGGTCCTATTCCTTGGTCTGAAAGTGTTTTAAAAAGCACATTCTCCATATCCCAATCTACTATTGGGCATTCAAACACTCTATACAGAAGAGATTGAGGTTCTAAGCCTTGCATCTCAACCTAGAAATTATCATCATCAACTTCAGGTGAAATCTTAACTCTATAACAGGCATTAGATAGCCCGGAGAGTCTGGTAAGATGCACCATCTCATGTGTAATTATATTCCTCCAAGAGGGGATGTGCTCCTGGATATTTTTCAAAATCAGAAGTCTCAAATCTTCTTTGTGATTTAGAATTTCCTTGATATTTTGCTTTTGTAGTTACTAATCCTCTACCATAATAAATAAGTGATAGATTTAAAATCAAAAATAATTTAATGAAAGAAAACTCATAAGCGTGATGTCATCACTAAATTTATACAATGAAATTTACAGCTTATACTTTATCCTCTCTTCATAATACTCATATGGGGTTTTGGGGTTTTGGGGTTTTGGGGTTTTGGGGTTTTGGGGTTTT